CATGCGATGATCGTTCCACGATCGGTGCGGCACAGTCGAATCAACACATATATATGTGTGTGCATTCCCCAATCCTTGCACAACTTAATGTATGCTTGTTGCCACAGGCGCTCAGCTCCCACATATCTTCCAAACAGTTGTTCTGCCATGCTTGCAAGAAGAAGAGTACCCCGAAGGTCTACTAGTCTACTAGGATCAAATCTCATGTGCAGTCGCTGGATCTGTATCTCAGGATCTTCTATCTTCCCACTATCTTATCTTTGCCACCAATCGGGCTATACACATCCCCACGTCTTCAAGCAATTCACAGAATCATCAACAGTGCAAATGAGCTGTTCAGCGGGAAAGGGGATCTTGTGATCATGTGTGAGATGCCTGTGGAACAAAAGTTCTTCATGCGAAAGGCTGCTCTCTTTTGGATAAAGTCTCCGGCCTCAGCCTCAGCTGAAGTCTTGCCTCTGTCAAAAGCGTTGCCGCCTTGGTTTTGCAAGACTTGGTTTCTGCAAAGAGCTGATCTGCACCGATTTGGTCAAGGAATCCACCCCACATCCCACAGTGAATGTGCACTCACAGAGAAGTGGCAAGTTCTCCTCATGCCGATCATTGGCGCACACTTTTTTGACATGAAAGCTGGATCACCACACATGAATAACCTCATCTGCCAGGAGGTAGTCAACTTATGTCAAGTTTTACTTCCTCCCTTCCTCCTTCCTCCTTCCTCTTTCCTTCCCGACAAGTTTACAAACCAAAACGTGCCACCTCTTCTGAGTCCGAAGACAAGAGATGATCTGCCTCGTTGGAAAGTGCACAAGCCTCAGCTTGTAGGAAAATTCGAGCTACAGTAGCTACAGTTCGTTCAGCAAGCATGAGCTTCAAAGCTTTGACGCCAACTGCTGGGCATTCAACTAGTCGCACGGCATCATACCCACCGGTTTTGAAATGATTCTGAGGCGGCAACCGCTGACCTGAGTCTGGAGGTTAAAGCCTTGGAAGTCCACATACATAACCAGCAGCTCCTGCAACGAACTGCACTGCAAAGGCATAACTCTGAAAATTGGTGAATTCATCTAGTCTATATATTTATATATATTTATAAATTCCACTCAGAGTCCTGGCAGCGAGCTCTCAAGGAGCGGCACCAAGCGATTGCCCTGGGCACCTCAATGTCAAAAGCTTCTAGCGAGTTCTCCGGTGTAGAGAAGCCTATTCAGGGCTCCCTGCATCTCAACAGCTGGACCAACGTGAAACACTGATCCCCCCCTCAGATTCTCTTCTCTCTGCGAGGGCGTCAATTTCGAGTTGGTCTCAGTGCATTTTGCAACTGATCCCGGGACATTATCCATGCTCAGCATGCTGCCAAACATAAAAAATATGCATCATTTTTTCTTTCCGCTCTTGCTCGACTGTGTCGAGCTTCCTGATTTGGATCGTCCCTTCTTCTTTTTCTTCTTTGTCCTCCGAAGATCTCGAGTAAAGTCATGAACTGGCAAGCTATAGAGGTATGGTGCCTCCATGGTGATCTTCTTTGGGGCCGTACGCACCTTCCCGAGATTGCGCATCGCAGTTTGAGTGCGTCGATGATCCTCGCCGGCCAACTCCTTCAAGATCTCCACAGCCAGCTCCATGAATGCACCAGCCTCCACCACTCGATCCAAGGCAGCAAGGCAACAGGCGAGATTGTTGTATGATGTCGCTGTGTCAATGGTGTCACCACCGAGTGAACGTTCTCGGATCGTCCTGGCACGCATGTAGAGCCTTGCTGCGACCTCGAAGCTGCCGGCGTAGAAGGCGACCCGACCTAGGCCGCTCCAAACCATGGCAGCGTTGGCATCGTAGGGTGAAAGAGTTTTGCAACAGCCCAAGGCACGCCATAGCAGCAATCCAGAAAGCTCATCCTCTTGAAGTGCAGAGTGCAAAGATGCGAGTTCACAAAAAAAGAACAACGTTGCCCGGGCTGGCAATTCTTCCAGATCCTCGTCCTCGCCCAAAGCTGAGGGAAAGTCATTCTTGGGGTTGTATCTCCTGCTGGGAGTGGCGCCAGTGCGGCTTGGTCTGGAGGGTATTCGACCACGTGCAGACTGGGGTGTTGTACCGGCTTCGCTGCCAGAAGCGCTTCCGCTCGGACGGGCTGTTAGCGGAGCAGCTGTGAAACTTTTGAAAAAGTCTTTGTGCTTGTGTTCTTGGAAACCTCCTGTGTCAGTCTTGCTCTTGACAATTTCTGCATGATGGATTGTGTTGTCAGCGTCCCCTTCATCTGCAGGTTGCTGGGCTTCCTGAGCTTGCTGAACTTCCTGCGAGCTCTGGGCGACGTTGCTTTCCTTCTCCGGCTCCGTCCGCTTGAAATGCCGAAACACTCCGCGGGAGCTTTGAGATGTGTTCCAGGGAGAATGTGTCGGCATCAAACTTTGCACATCCTGCCACTCTCGGAGGCCTGTCATTCCAGCCTCAATAGCCGCCCACAACTTTCGAGCACGAATCAACAATGCCACAGCGGCATCGTATTGCTTTAACCTTCGCGATGTAAGGGCCGTCTCCATGAGTGTGGACACCTCTTCACTCTTCGGGCATGCTGGTGCTCTCAGCGGCTCATCTATCAGCTGCAAGCGGAGGACCCAGCCACTCGCTGGTACATTGGCTGCACTTGACTCATCCCGGTGCTTCCTGATGTGATCATCAAGATGATTCAGCATGTCAACCTTGCTATCCATCTGCCACATGGCTGGAATTTCGGGCTTGAGAGGCTCAGGCATTTTGCCTAGCCACTGGACCTGGTTCCAGTGCACGGGCACATTTCCATAGAAGTACTCCCGCCACTTTGGTTGCTTCACCTTGGCTCCCTTCTTTTTCTTCTTCTTCTTTCCGGAGGCTGAAGGTCTTCCCAGTGGATTCTTCCGGCGGTTCTCATCCAGCCGTTGTTCTGCGGTCATAGGCTGTACTGGAAGCTTTTCAAGGACATGTCCAGGTGGTTGGGGTATGTGCGGATCCTTCTTTGGAGCGAGCTTCGGCAGCTCAGAGTCCAATGCAGTCCAAATCTCTACAAGATTCGAGGGTTCTCTGTCATTTGTATCATCCAGGAACCCTGACACTGCTTGGAGAAACTTTTCGGCTTGGAACGCATTCGCCTCTCCTTGTGGCAGCTGGAGCAGGTGTTGGAAAATCTCGTGGATCCGGTCAATGCAATCCTGGAGTGGTTCAGCATACAAGGGAGGCGATGCATGAAAGGCAGCCAGGGTGAAGAGTTCCACCAGCTCAGGAAAAGAGAAACGTGGTTCGCCAGGTATCTCGTCAATGGGTGGCTGAAGCCATGTGGTATCAGCTTCCTGATCATGCTGGAGCAAAGTCATTTCCTGAAAGTAACGCTGCTCTTCTGTCTTGGAAGGGCTCCGAGTGTAAAGCGCTTGAACAAGCTCATGGAAGTCCTCTGGAGCGATACAATCAGGAACCAGTCGTACCGCTCGTGCGAGTCGGTATAGGGAACGAGCAGTGACAGTCCGCTGCAAACGTTCCTCAACAATGTTTTGCCCTTGGGTGCTCACAGATTCATATTGAGAGAAGAGTTTTCTCAAAGCGTGCTCGTATTCGTAAGCACTTTGAACAACCTGTTCTTGAAAGAAGACAGTCCGTCTTTCATCCACCGATTTCAACTCAAAAGGAATCTCTGCATTGCGGATACTGATATCTCGGAGAAGATCCTGCAGCGCTTGGATCTTGTACAAAGCCTCCATGGCAAAGGTTCGATTGGTGCCACTGTTCCGTCTCTCAACAATGGACGGAGTTTCACTGGCTCCCAAAGTTTGACGATCGATAAGCTTTGGTTCACGTTCCTTGAGGCCGTAGTTTGCCCCATAGAAGTGCACCGCCAAAGCCTGCAGAGCTTGTCGCAGCTGTTTGGAATCAATGAGCATCGAGTCCAAAGTATCCTCGAAATGAGGTACTCCCGTCTGCGATCGGAAAGTCTCCAGGACTGACATGTGGTCAAAGTCCCAAGAGACAAGGCGTTGGTGGGCCAGGAGGTGGCAAAAGCTCGAAAGTGAAACACCGACTCCGTTTGAGCATTCGTTGTACAAGCCAGCGACCAATGTTGCTGTGTCCACAGTAGCTGTGCCACTTCGCGGGCTGAATGCAGAAGAGTAAGTGTCCTTCTTCTGGTCCATGGCACAGCACTAGCAGCTTTCGGCTAGACTGCACATGTACCCACTATGCCGTTTCCTTTGGTCCGCTTCGGCTGCGGTTCTCCTGGATTGGAGATGCACTCACCTGGAAAGCCCAAACATGAAAACTCTGTCATGGACAGTAAATGTCTGCACTCAGGTCTGAGCATGATATAACACTATATCGCGCACATGATCTGGACACAGTCTTTGAAGCATGTCTCGGCCAACAACCACTGCACCTGCGGCCACGCACTTAGCAACCCTCTTGTGGTTGGGTCTTCTGTGAACAAAAGAAATGTGGCAGAATCTGGTTGCTAAAGCGATCGTTGCATATCCTCCAACAAGCAAACATTAATGATATAAACGGCAGCCTTCAACCGCCAGGCACACGCGAGAGAGCTTAGCTGCGAGATGCTACGTTACGCAGTCTAGTAATAGTCTAGTAATAGTCTTATATGATATAGACATGGATATATAGATATAGATACTATCAGTGTATGTGTTAAAGGCACATGCTGTGAAGCCGGCAAAGAGCCTTGGCACAGATGGGTTTCAGACTGGTTTTAGGCACTAAAATTCTAAAATGGCAAGAATTGTCGCCCTTCGCATGGTTTAGGTTGGTCACGTTGCAAGTGACTTGTGGAGCACAAAGTTCGAGAGTCTTGGACTGAAGAATCCTGCTTCACGAGGAATTTAACCACAGTGACCGTCAAGACGCTGGGCAACTCGCTTCTTGGCGCTGCTCGGAAAAGGCATGTGCAATTGGGTGTTGGAGGCGATGGCAATTAGGTTGAAGGCCGTTGCTCAGAAAAGGCATGTTTGCTTTGTGTGCGCTTTGTTTGTGTCCGAAGGAGCCCACACCAAAGCTGTCCTCACCGGAGCAGCCAACTCTGTCGCCTACTTTCGCACCCGTAGGTTCTACAGAGGCTTTGCACGGATGCGCACGGCGCACACCCTGCCAAACTGGCACCATTGCTGGGAATGCCTGCTTTTCAAACCCCCAACCGACCCCGCGAATGCGCATGATCCGTTGCAAACCGCTACACGTCCTTTAGTGCACACGGCTAAGGTTCGTCGCGTCACCTTGGTTGATCCCCTGGGCCAGGCGTCATGAATGAGTGGCTCATTGTTGCATAAAGCATATATATATATATGTGTAGTTTCCTGCCTAGTGGACAAGCAAAGGATCCGATCCTGTGAAGGGGGCCCAAACTATAGACTCACAGTTCAAGAAGCCAGCCATTGCATGTTTCCAACTCTCAAGTCTCAAGCCAAACTGTTCAGAAACTTCACCACAACACAAGCCCTGAACATGCTCACCTGAAACGCTTCCAATCTAGAAGGACCAGCCAACAACCTATGTGATTGTGCAAAAGCACTTGCCTATGCTTGTCCATCAAAAAGCTTTGCACTTCCACTCGTCACCTCAAGTTCGCACGGAGAGGCAAGCTTGCACGGTGACAACATCTAGTCAATGGCTTCTTCCCTGGCAACAAGAGTCGCTGGCTTTGTGAGTTTCAATGCCACAGTCTTTGCATCTGGAGCCTGGGATCAAAACAGCAACACCAAGACACCCAATCGACCTCACTAAGACTATCCAAGAATTATCCAGTCAGCAATCTGAGCAATATGCACTTCGCCGCCACACTGAATTCTCGTGATTTCCAGGCGCTGATCCCGCCTGTTGCACATCCAGAACGCCCCCAAAGTGTGAGTCGAAGGACGGAAGCCTCGAACTTGGTGCAGACTTGCTTAAGTGCTTTACTAGTAGTAACAAGTGCCACGCTACTAGGAACAAGTGCATCGCTACTAGGAACAAGTGCCTTACTACTAGGAACAATGTTAGCTAGTAGAAACAAGTGCCTTACTACTAGTAACTTGATTCTCTTTGGCTCTGCCTTGGACTCCCTCTCATGCAATAACTTAACTTCAAAAGCTGTGGAACTCACCATCTCCTCTTCGGTGCAGTGGCATCCACCACCGTCGGATAGGCTTGGCAGGGCAAATGGACGGTTGAACCTGCAGACTTGTGAAACATGAGCAATTCAAGCTTTCACTTTACTAAATCCTGTAGAGTTCATGTTGAATTAGCTGCTCAAACCAAAATGTGCAAACAAAAGCAACAGTTGCTGTCATGATGTACCACAATTCTGCATGTCCAAAGAGCCGCACTCAGTCCCCTGCTTCCTATGACTCCAAAGTTTGCATCACAAACCGGCTTCTCTGCGTAGGTGTTTTCTGATATGCTGAAGTCCAGGTCTTCTAGAACTCCAGGGCTGTTTGCATGATACCACTTTGGCTCTGTCACAGGCTCTGTCTAAATTCCTCTGTTCACTCCTTGCTCACCAGTGCTCAATGTCCATTCAATGCTGTGACAAGGTATGCACGCAGCAAGAAGCAGGACATGGACAACCGGCAAGTGTCTACAATTCGAATAATCCACAGTTTGCAGCACGGCTACAGCTTGCTACTTGCCCAAACCGGCTTTGTGTCCAAATGAATTGGCAGTCTTGGAATGAAATATGCGCGTCCTGTGCGCACAACGGCAATAACCTCACGTCATACCACTGTACAGGCAACATGTGTTTCGCTTTGTCTTTACAGATTTATCACCGAATTACTGTAGTACCGTCTACCGAATTACATCCTGAGGTGCATCACGAGGACGCAACCAAAAGCACTGTACTAAGAATACGGGAACGGACCTAGTTCTTCCTGTACATGTAAGAGTTGCTACCAACGGGAATTTTCAGAATTCGAAAGTTCGCACCGGAACTTCCTGTGAAGTCCATGGCTGGAGGCACTACCTGACACTTTTGCACTCAGCAGCGTGGAGCTGAGAAGTCCATCTGGAATGCCGACAAGGCACATCTCGAAAGAACCAGGAATTGAGGCGATTACTTGTTAGCCACAAGTTGCCTCTGTTGTCCTTAGTTTCTATAGCACACAAAGGAAGAAATAACGTTTTGAAACCAGCCTTTTCTTTTCACTTCTGTCAATGTCAATTGGATCTGTGGACAAAAACAGCCACCTGCAAAAGTCAGAAAGGATTGAGGTTCAGGCCCAAGCAAAGGTGTCAATCCACCACAACCTGGGTGGAAGGCGAGTTCAAACCTTACTAGGCTCATCTCGTCTACTACGCTGCACTCGGGTGTCTCTTGCTTTGCAGCCATGCATCTTTTCATGGTCGACTGCCAGCTGCTGAGTCTCGTTGAGGGGAGTGCCTGGTTTCCATCGAAGAAGGCCTTTGCAAGGCAATCACAACAAAAAACATCTTAAGTGTCTAAAAATCTAGGAACCAAATGAATAGTGCGAACGCTTCTTCAAGGAAGCGTGAGCTATCCTGCGTCCATCCAAGTAGCGTACTAGTAAGGTACTAGCTACCTAGCTTCTACTAGCTGCCTAGCTACCTCTTCTCGGCCTACCCCGTCTTTAAAAATTACACCACCGTAGACCCCAAACAGGTGGGACAACAACGAAGCATTCCCAAGTCCACATTTTGAGACATCAACAAGAAGGGAGACAAGAAGGGAGACAAAAGGAAACAGAAGGGAGACAAGACGGACACAATGGCCAACAAGAAGGGAGACAAGAAGGGAAACAAAAGGAAACAGAAGGGGACAAGACGCACACAATGGCGACAAGGCGGACACAGTGACCAACAAGAACAGAGACAAGAAGGGAGACAAAGGTAACAGAAGGGGACAAGGCGGACACAGTGACCAACAAGAAGGGAGACAAGACCGGAGACAAAGGGAGACAAGCCGGACGGAAGGCGGACACGCTGTCCCGCAGCAAGGCGGACACTCTCAGAAGGCCTTGAATACCCCTAACAGTATATAACCTGTTCGGGGAAGTACAGAAACCACCTGGGAGACAAATGAATAGAAATGCTGGAAAGGGGAAAAGGGCGGAGGCCAGCAGCGCAGGCACCGAACCTGGAAAATAAAAGTAAACAAATCATATGGGAGGCAAATGAATAGAAACGCTGCATGGCCAGCGGATTCGGGGATTAGGGTGGACACTGGCAGGGCACACCGAACTTGGGAGACAAAAGTAAAGAAGCCACTTTTGATACAAATGAATTGAAATGCTGCATGGCCAGCGGAAAAGGGCGGACACGTTTTAAGAAAGAATTGAGAACCCCTAAAAGTACACTGATTGGGGAATGAATAGAAATGTTGCGTCGCCAGCGGAAAAGGGCGGACACCAGCAGCGAGAGACCTGGGAGACAAATGAATAGAAATGCTACATGGCCAGCGGAAAAGGACGGACACCACCAGTGACAAACCTGGAAGACAAGTGAAAACAGCGGAAAGGGCGGACACCAGCAGTGACAGACCTGGGAGACAAATGAGTAGAAATGCTACATGGCCACCGGAAAAGGGCGGACACCAACATTGACAGACCTGGGAGACAAATGAATAGAAATGCTACATGGCCAGCGG